GTGAGCTGAGAGAGAAAGAGGGCTTCCGGCGGCCACCGCGCCTCAGCTTCAGCCATCCATCCCCGCCGCCGAGCCGACGGCGGCGACACAGAGAGCCAAAGCCGCCCCGGTCGGCCGTTTTACAAAAAAAAAAACAGAACAGAGAGATCGGGGGGGAGAAAGAGAGGATTGGAGAAAATTTTTTGTGATCTTTAGTTTGCAGGTGGAAGAATATAGCCGCAGGGGTTCCTCAAACGAGCCAGAGTCGCCGACGATCCACCGAACCGACGTCGCCGGCTGGTTGGTTATTCTCGGCCAAAACAGAGCACCGGAAGAGAAGGAGAGACAGAGAGAGAAATCAGAGAGAAAGAAGGCATACCGAGGTTCCGCCGGAGCAAAAGAAGAACCAGCAGCGTCGCCGTCGTCCCCCAATCAGTCGGAAACCTCCCAGATGCGCCGTCGACCGGTGAGTCGTCCCCCGGCCCGAACTGCCCTGTTCTCCCCTGTTTTTGCTCCCGGTTTGGCCGGGACCCGCGCCGGCCGTTTCGCGCGAGTCCCGGCCCATACCGCCGTCCCCCGCCGTCCGTGCATCATCGTTAAAGGTAAGAACAGGTTTCCCGAGGACGGCGGGGCCTCGAAACAGGTCGGAATCTCCTGTTTTTGGTCGCGCACGCCCGGTGTTCGACAAAATGCCTCAAAGAGGCCGGTTTTTAATTCGGTCGCCGGCCGACGAGCGGCGGTCAAACGGCGACCCAGGTGGACGGCGAGGCTTGGCGGTGTTCCTAGAAGCCGATTTGGGGGCGGCGCTGGCCTGGGTCAGCCGGCGGACGGCCAATTTTGGCCTCTCCGGCGCCCCCTCCCCGCGGGTCTGTGTGTTCGGGTCGGATTCGACCCGAATCAACAGATCCGACCCGGGTCAACGCCCGGGTCGGATCCGTTGACTCGGGTCGGTTCCGACCGACCCGGATTAACAGATCCGACCCGGGTCAACGCCCGGGTCGGATCCGTTGACCCGGGTCGGTTCCGACCCGATCCGGATTGACCGATCCGACCCGGGTCAACGCCCGGGTCGGATCCGTTGACCCGGGTCGGTTCCGACCCGGCCCGGATCCGCAACCCGACCCGGTTTAATATTATATTAATATTTTTTATTTTATTTTAAAAAAAAATTTAAAAAAAAAATTAAAATTTTTTTTTCTCTTCTGTACTATTATTTATATATATGTGTGTATATATATATATATATATATATATATATTTTTCTTTTTCGAAAAAAAATTTCAAAAAAATTTTTTTTTAAAAAAAAAAAAATTTTTTTTTTTTTAAAATTAAGTTATATCTAAGTGTTTTAATTTATTGTTGTATTATTATGCATGTTATTGTCTTGTTTAAATTAGACAATTCTGAGGTTGGGCGGTAGTATTTTGCATGTTAATTTTATTACTGTTATGCATGTTTTTAATACAATTCCATGAGCTGTTGTGTTTTTGAATGTCATCTGACTTGTTAAGGTTAGAACCTTAGGCTGCATACATTGTTGTGTTCCTGACTGCTAATCGTTTCTGATTATGCACTCGCTTGATCACCTCACATGTTAGGAGAAAGGTCCTAAAATCAATTCAAATTGCCTGACAATTGTTTTCAAAAAATGAACAGTGTAAAATGGTACCGAAAGGGCATTAGTTATCTAACTAGTGTAACCAAGTCCCCGAATTCAGTTAATCTCCGGTTCGTAGGAATAGGGTGACTCTCCCATCATCCTATTTGGGTTTCTAATCGACCTACCCCAAATCGATTAGTGACGACTCCTTGATATAAACCACTTGCATGTTAAAAACTTAAACCCTAAGTCGCGATATGGTACGGGCTTGGGAGAGCCCGAGTTAAGTCCTGAACTTAGACTTAGCACGTATCAGGCGAGCCCCCCTTTTTTGCATGTTGTTTAAAAAAGGGCTCGGGAGTTCGGTCGCGACACTGGTGAGCGAGTCCTACTTGCCTTCTTAGGCGGTTCGATTCAGTCAACCGTTTCTGACACGTGGCTGAAGGATAGATATGAGAGTGCTTTCAAGCACGAACAGCGAATGTTGAGAGCCCGAGTAAGCTAGCTACTTGAACTATACAAGGAATAAAAAGGACAAGTTGATGGCCACAATATATACTTAGCTTTCGCCAATCCCCAAGATGCCTTTGGTTGGAATGTTCACACCTGATCCGCCGTCGGTGATTCCTACATTCACTCCTGGGAATAACCACCTTATTCAAAGACAATAAGGAGATGAATTTCTTGATAACTTATTTTGGTCAATTTGCTAGTGATGTTGGCTCAACACTGGACGTGACAACGTTTCCCATTTATTACGATAGATGTAGTTGATTAAATTTCAAATTGTATTTGGCCAAAAAAAAAGATCCTCAATTCCTATAAGTTCAACCTACCTCAATTTTAAACTTAATTTTCAATCTATAAGAAATCTCTCTTTTCAAATCGTAACTTCATTAATATACAATGTTTTCATTAATCCTATTTGTCCGGGCAAGTTTATCGTCCAACTCAATTTAAGTCCTTTATGATTCACTTTTCCTTCGATAAAGATTGATTATATTAGTGGACTTAACTTGCACTGTTGTATCTCAATATCTCCATCGTAATATTGATAGTATGATTTGAATATAAGGTTAATATCACGAAAAATCCCAAACTGGTACACCTGTGACAAATTTAATCCAAACTAATTTTTTTACTATCAAAAACCCCAAACTGATACATTTGTGAAAAATTTGCCCTCCATTAAATTGAATTAATACAAAAAAAAATCACAAACTAGTACACATTGGACAAACGGAGGGTAAAATCCCAAACTGATACATTCGTCAACTGCAATGTGTCATTTAACTAAGCAATTTGACAGTAAAATTTAACGGAAACTAATGGATGGTAGATTTGTCATAGGTGTACCAGTTTGGGATTTTTCGTGTTAATAACCCTTGAATATAAGGTAGATTTGTGTCATGGAACAATCTCTAGATGTTCAGGTCATAACATCACAAGTACCATGTTGACACCTAAATTTTGGCAACCTAGTTAGACGTTCGTTGCATAAAAAATTACGGATCGATCCCGGTCCCTAGACAAATAATATTAATTACATTGCATATAGATATTAGCGGTATTTTAATTAGACCAATATATTTGCATCGGACCGGTGACAGATAGAGTCGAGTGAATGGTGATTGGGAAGTTTGCTTAGTTGGGAGATTGATTTATCTTGGGGAATAATTGAATTAAGTAAAGAAAATCAATGATGCATGATTTGAACGAGATTGTGGCCGAATGATGGTCAATAATCTTGGGCACATCAATAGCATATATAGAGAGAGTGAAGACCGATTCTTTTGGAAAGGCCTGAAAGAAATGTCGGCCAGTATTTAAGAAAAGAAAAGAAGTGAAGCAGGAGAGCCAAGGAAATTGAGAGATTTGCTGGCTTGTTTTATTTGCACGGGGAAGGGAACTTTTGTCCTTTCCTCGAGGGGATCACTTCTTTCACATAAAAAAAAAAGGGAAAAGTGCACTACAAGTCCTAAAACTTGTCACAAAAATGCGTTTGAGTCCTAAAACTTGCAAAAAGTTCAATCGAGTCCTAAAACTTATAACAAAAGTGCATTTGAGTCCTAAAGTTAACACCGTTAAGTTTATTAACGGAAAACGCTGATGTGGCGCTGACGTGGCGCTTATTAATCATTTCTCTCTCCTACATGGAAAATGGTTTAAGCAAAAATGTCCACGTATGCAAAACGACGTCGTTTTTGGACGTCCCCCTTTCTTCTTGAACGTCTCTCTTTCCTTTCCCCTGCGTCGTCTCCTTCGTCTCCTTCCTTCTTCCTTCTGAACGTCTCTCTGAACCGTATGCTCCGATTCAACCTCTGCCGGAACAACATCTCTTCTTCTTCTTCTTCTCAAATCGATGTCCTATGAAACCTAAGCCCAGACTCGTCGTCGTCCTTCTCTCCCTCTAAACGAAATTAACATTTGGTTACCCTTTGAACCCTAAGCCCCAAATCAAGTTCGACGATCTCGAGTTCCCTCGTGATTTGGGTCTCCTCGCGAGTTGGAGTTCGACGTCCATCATCATTTGGAGTTTAATCGTGATCTGAAGTTCGTAGAGTTCGAGTTCGAGTTCGAGTTCTCTTCTTCGTCGATAGCGAGTTCGTGCGAAGACCTGTCCTGCGGGAGTCTCGATGGCGGATTGAGTGGCTTTGACGACGGAGACGGCGACGGGGACGGGGACTCCTCTCACAGGTATCGCTCTCTGCATTATAGCATGTTGGTATCGAGCGACGTGTGTTTCTATTCCAGTTCGGTCAGGACCTGTGTGTTCGGAGCGTTTCGATTTGCGTTGCGATTGCGATGAGGTAGGGTAAGGTAGGATGGCTGTTTGCCCGAAGGCGCTCTCAAGTCGATGCACAATCAACTATTAGTAGTCATCCTCTGTCCTCATTATAATGCTTAAACCTCTATCGAAGAGCATGATGAGTCAACTGAGAGTGATGGAAACTCAAAGTGTTGTTTCCGGTATCTTCATGATTGATTCAGCAGACATGGGTTAGATTTTCCATTGATTGTAGAAGTTTAGGTTAGCTAGGATCAGTAGACATAAATTCAACTCCGGAGTGTGCTGATGTACGCACCCTTCTCGTAGTAGCCAAATCATGCTATCCTATTTCGGAATGTGAATCAGCTACTTCTCCATTGGTCATTGCAAGTTTAGAAAACTTTGTGTAGCAGAATGTGTTCTTCATCATCTGATTCGGTCATCGGTCTTGCTCCAAATATTTTATCTCTGCACTATTTTTTTTTTACTTTTCACATGTTCATTATTTTTGCAAGATTCTTTTCTGCTATGAAGTTCTTCTTCAAGCTAGAAAGTACAAAAATAAACAAGCACAATTATGGTTTGAACACAAAGATGATGTTCTTACAACCTTTACCAAATGACTCTGTGAATCAAAGGATGATATTTATGTCGCTCCCATTTCACGGGAGGAATTCCTAGACTGGAAAATTTTTGTATCGTAGCTTAAAACCTTTAATGAGATGTATCAAAGCTACAGATTGCCTATCTTTTCATTCCATTCCACACAGCCACACCTTTTCTCATTTGTTTTTCTGCTCTTTTCTCTCTTAGAGCATTTATTTGTGCGGTTAAATCATCAATATTTTTCTTCTGCTCAGTTAAGTTTACTCTTTGTTTTTGTTCCCTTGTAGGTCTAATGGCCGAGAACAAAGTTTATGTCACTGTTTTCTTTGGAGGTAAGTTTCAAGTTGGACCGCCATTGGAATACGTAGGTGGAAGGGTTGATGTTGTCGAAATAGGCTTAAATAATGGTTTACTGTCTAATATAATTGAAGCTATTGAGGCTTTGGGTGTGCGTGAAATAGAGAAACTCTTTTACAGAGTTCCTGGAAGTACGACTCTTAAAGACGGGCTAACTCTTAGGTATTTATGGGATAACTCTGATGTGATAGATCTATTTTATCATCATCTGCGTTCTGAAAATATTGACCTATATGTTGAGCATGTTGATGATGAAGAGACGGGAGCTGAGATGGAAATTGGAGGTTTGTATAATGTGATTGGGAATATTGATGATGACGGGAATCAGCTTGAGGTTGCTAATAGGGATCTGGATGAGAGGGAGGATGATGATGCATGTAATTTAGTGGATGTGGAACAATCAAGTGACGGTGATGATTTTGAACTGGTTGATGCAAGGAGAAAATTAAAGGAATTTTCAGCGAGACATAGGCTAAAAAGTGGCGCTTATAGTGAGGTAGCTGGTACTTCCCAAACACCGGTTGTGGATGAGGCTCAGTTGGTAGATGCTTCTGGGTACGAAACAGAGTACCGTTATTCAGATGATGAAGAAAGTCTTCAATCAGGTTTGAATAATAAGGGCGATGAGGAGGTTGAAGTTGCTATTTCAAGGAGGAGAAGTAGGTTCCCATCATATGAACAAAATGGTACAAATCCGGTATTTATTATCGGCATGACATTCGAGGATGCAACTGAATTTAAAGATGCAATTTTGAGGTACTCTGTGGCTGAGCAAAGAGCAATCAAATATACCAAGAACACAAAAAAATTTGTAAGAGCCAGGTGTGCCCAGAAAAATTGTAATTGGATGATTTATGGTGCTGTTGATAGCAAGACAGGGTCATTTCATTTGAAAAAATATATAGATGAGCATATATGCAGTATCACTTTCGAGAATAAGAGAGTGTCTAGTGTTTACTTAGCTAAACACTTCATGATTCTCATTTCTGCAATGCCTAAAATCAATGCACCTGAGTTGAAGAAATTAGTTAGAGAACAGCTGGGAGTAAATGTCACTTTGAGTCAGTGTAGGAGAACAAAGCTAAAAGTATTGAAGGAATTGCAAAACAATTATAAGGAGGGGTATGCACAGATGTATGACTACTTGGGGGAGCTTTACACCTCAAGTCCTGCAAGCAATTTTAAGATGAAAGTTGAAAGGCCACTGCCAGATTCTCTACCATTATTTGATAGGGCTTACTTTTGCTTTGATGCCTGCATGAAAGGTTTTTTGGCTGGATGTAGGAAGATAATTAGATTAGATGGATGTTTCTTGAGGGGTTTGATCAAGGGTGAGTTATTGTGTGCCGTAGGGAGGGATGCCAACAACCAAATGTATCCAGTGGCATGGGCAGTGATAAGAATCGAGAATAAGGACACGTGGACTTGGTTTATCGAATTGTTGAAATCAGACCTTGATATGTGTAATGGCAATGGTTGGACTTTGATAAGTGACCAACAAAAGGTATGCAATGCATCTTTATGACTCATTTGGAAATTGATTGCAACATTGTATGCAATGCTTATCAATATTAATGTTTTGCTTTTGCTTTTGTTTTTTTTTTATATATTTGTCAGGGTCTCGTCCCTTCCGTAGCTGAACTTTTGCCAAATGCAGAACATAGGATGTGTGCAAGGCACATATATTCCAATTGGGGACAAAAATACAAAGGAAAACAGTTGATGAGACAATTTTGGAAATGTGCTAAGAGTACTAATATGTCAGATTTTGAGGTTCATAGACAGAGATTGAAAGAAATGACTCACCAAGGTCATGACGATCTATTCCGTACCGAGCCAAAACACTGGTGCAAAGCCTTCTTTGACACCAACATTAAATGTGATGTTATTGATAATAATCTCAGTAAAGCTTTCAACGGGAGGTGCGTGGAAGCTAGGTGCAAGGCCATTTTGAGCATGCTGGAGAATATTAGAATCATGGTTATGAATAGAATGCACACTCAGAGGGATGGATGTGCTAGGTGGACTAGAAATTATGGTCCAAGGATTGCGCATAAGTTACATCAGAATACAACTGCTAGTAGTTATTGTCATTTGATATGGAATGGAGATGAAGGATATGAGATTATGGAAGGTGGTGACAAATATGTTGTTGACTTCAATTTGAAGACTTGTTCTTGTAGAGCTTGGGAACTTAGTGGAATTCCATGTTGTCATGCCATTTGTGCGATACACCACAAGAGAAATGATCCGAACGACTACCTAGCTGAGTGCTTCTACAAGGTAAAGTATCTAAGTGCTTATCAATTCATGATGCCTATGGTGAGAGGACAGAAATTTTGGGAGAAAACGCTGAAAGAAGCTCCTCAACCCCCACCGATGAAGAAGATGCCCGGTAGGCCAAAAAGAAGTAGAAGAAAGCAACCAATTGAGCTTGTAAAAGGTGATAGAATGACTAAAGAGGGTAAACGAATGACTTGTTCTACCTGCAATGTGGTTGGACATAACAGCAAAGGATGTCCTTTGAAAAAGGTATTGTCTCAACTAATTGATCATGTTGATGCCGAGCATGTTATCTTAATATGTTGTCAATTAATGCTTGCTATGTGCTTTTCAGGCCAATGCTCAGGCCGATGTATGTTCATCTAGTGCTCATGCCAATGCAAGTACAGCTGAAGCTCATGCTCAATCTCAAGCCAATGTGTGTTCATCTAGTGCTCATGCCAATGCAAGTACAGCTGAAGCTCATGCTCAATCTCAGGCCAATTCCATTGGACCAAGGCCTGACAAAAGACAAGTAAGTTGTGGTAGAACCATCTATTGTAAGTTTTATATGTCATGGTTCCAATTTAATGATGATAAGTATATTCAGGCTAAAGCTAAAGCAACGACAAGCGTAAGTGAAGGAGGATCCAAAGGCCAGACCAATGCTTCTGCAGAGGCCAGTGCAATACGAGACAATAGTGGGCAGGCCAATGCTTCTGCTCAGGCTAGTGCAAATGTAAGAGGATGCAGTGCCACTCCATCCTCTCATATAGGATGTACAGCTACCGCTGATATAAGAGGATGCAGTGGTGAGGCCAATGCTTTTGCTAAAGTCTGTTTTGATCAAGGTGAAGGTATTTATAGTGCTCAAGCCAATGTAATTGCTCAGGATAGACCGCAGAAAATCCTAGTGAGTAATACGTCAATCCCCATGCATACATGTATTGTGATTACATTCTCATGTCAAATGATTTTATTTTATTTTTTTCAGTTTAAAAGACCTGCAATTGAAAATGAAATGATGCAAGGACAAGCATAGGCGAAGAGGAAGAAAATGGTAGGGTTGGGTGTTGACACAAATCGTAGGACAAACCTTCAAATTCTCAACGTGAGTGATATTTTAACAATTTATAATAGCAATTGCATGTCTCCTTGAGATAAAAACATGTTCATTCTTTTGTAGCCCGGCACAACTGGTGTAAGAGTATGTAACCTACCAGACAAAGGGGTAGTTTTAGGAGCTGCTTCAATGGCAAAGGCACATCCCCAAGCCAGTGCACAACCTCGGCAATTAAGAACTTGTCCTCGAAAGCATGTTGATGTAAAGCGAAAGGCACCATTACAACCCAAGGCGAGTTCCCGATCTCAGTCATATCATGCTACAACAGCTCAAAAACATCGTGTAAAGCGAACGACACCGTCACAACCCCAAGCGAGTTCTCAGCCTCAGTCATCTCATGCTACAATAGCTCCTCGAAAGCATATTGCGGTGAAGCCAAAGCCACTATCACAACCATAGGCCAGTTCCCAACCTCAGTCATCTCAGGCTACAATAACTCCTCCAAAGCCTATTGTTGCAGGACCATATATGGAAAAGCCCAAGAATTATGAATAATGTGAAGGTCGAACCTGCTCGACCTCCAAAGACCATAGAATTGGATTGACATATTTGCTAAAAATGGTTTTTTTACGTGAATTTATGTCAATTATCAGCTGGTTTTTTGTATGAGACATGTAGCTTTGTTTGTTCGGAACTTGGCAGATAACTTTTGGACAGCTTTTGGTCTAAGCCTAATCAAGTTTCTATTTTTTTAGGTGAATTTATGTCATTTTCGCTAAGCTAATGCAGGCATTTGTTAAACAGAAGCTTTTGTTCTCGATCATTAATCAGTATGTTGAGTATCAGATAGTGCTTGAGTTGCTACTTGCCTTTAGTACACTGATAGTGTAGATATTTTGTTGAACAGAATATTCATCATCAATCGTTATCAGTACGCGCAGTATCAAAGAGTGCTCGAGTTGCTATTTGTCTGCTATAGCCTGATTTTTGTGTTTCTGCTCAACTTGGGCTTGTACGAGCAGTTGTATAGAACAGCACGTAAACGAGAGTTATCTAGACAGAATTTAGATACATGTCAGGGTGTGGGAATCGGAATGCGATGCACCAATTTGTTAGAACAGTATGTAAACGATAGTTTTCTATGTTTGGGAAAGCCTAGTTTAGGTGTATAAATGTATACTCATTATGTTTAAGAATACGTTAGCACCAACTTTGGCCAATGACAATGTTATTAAATTGCATGAGTGCATGGTTGGTTGATCAGATTGCCTATTTTGGCCATCCAAGATCGAAGTTCAGATTGCGAACAAACTAATCGAACATAACAATCGAAAAATAGGGTAATCTTGAACATTGTTATGTGATCAACAGGGACATAATCCATGATAACATTAGATTTCATTCCCATCTCAATTACCCACAACTAGTCTTACAAACTTACAAACTTACAAACATGGTACTATGGAAGACTTAGAAAATTTCCACCAACTTTCACATTACATATAACCAATGCAGTCATACAACACATGCATAGAACGAATGCCAATTGATATAGCATCTTTTCTTTCTTTACTTGTGCGAGCTCCTCCTTTAAACGTTTATTTTTCGCCCTTTGAGTCTTCATTTTAGTTAGCAATGAGCTCACATCGACCTCATCACGCCTCGATTGGCTTGATTCACATAGTGCTTGATTTCTTTCAAGGAGGTCGACTATCATGTCCCTTGCTCGATCTGGTATCTTCGGGTCAACCCACATGAAGAAATCGCAGCAACCCGGACCATCAAACTTAGCACATCCATGAAACCTTCTTCCTGCGTTTTTCCTTGTCTTTGCGGTAAGAATTGGTGATTGAAGACCACAATAGCATGTTGGCTCCAACTCGACCTCATTAGGAGTTACAACACTTGATTCAGATGTTGGCAGTCTCATTCTTCTAGTCGTCATATTATAAGAACCTAATTGAAGTATATTACCTGTATTTTGATTCTTTCCAGACAACAAACTACATTAGCACAATCTTTCTCAAAATGGTTCATGCTTGGCATCATATGTGAATTGAGAAGAAACTCTAGAAAACGATAACAAAGTCGAAAATTTCATATATAATTAGGAAGAATCTGACCGACAGTAGACACCACAAAAAGTATATCAAAATTCCTCAATCTTTCGACACACAAAATCTCCACCATATGGTAAAGCAACTCACTAATAAGGACCAAAAGAGAAACATTTGAAGCTAATATCACGAGTCAAGGCTCAACTCCACATAAACCAATCAAGAACTCGAGAGAAGAACCATTTCTCACGCGGTCGTGAACTGAAATTAGAAACCCAAGCAGCTATCCTACCCTACCTCATCGCAAATCACAACGCAAATTAAGGGTCAAAGCATAGTAGACTTCTTATCTGTTTGAACTTCATGTATTGAAAACAGGAGTCAAAGTTCAATCTCAATTTCACAAAGAATCTTACTGTGAGAAAGGTGTGTACATCAGCACACTCCGAAGCTGAATTTATGTCTACTGATCCCAGGTAACCTAAACTTCTACAATCAATGGAAAATCTAACCCATGTCTACTGAATCAATCATGAAGATATCGGAAGCAGCACTTTGAGTTTCCATCACTCTCAGTTGACTCTTCATGCTCTTCGGTAGAGGTTTAAGCAATATAATGAGGACGGAGGATGACTACTAATAGTTGATTGTGCATCAACTTGAGAGCGCCTTCGGGCAAACAGCTATCCTACCCTACCCTACCTCATCGCAAATCGCAGCGCAAATCGAATCGCTCCGAACATGCAGGTCCTAACCAAACTGGAATAGAAACACACGCCGCTCGATACCAAAATGCTATAATGCAGAGAGCAATACCTGCGCGAGGAGGAGTCCCCGTCGCCGTTGCCGTCTCCATCGTCGAAGCCGCTCGATCCGCCGTCGAGACTTTCGCAGGACAAGTCTTCGCACGAACTCGCTATCGACAAAGAAGAGAACTCGAACTCGAACTCGAACTCTACGAACTTCAGATCACGATTAAACTCCAAATGACGATGGGCGTCGAACTCCAACTCGCGAGGAGACCCAAATCACGTGGGAACTCGAGATCATCGAACTTGATTTGGGGCTTAGGGTTCAAAGGGAGACCAAATGTTAATTTCGTTTAGAGGGAGAGAAGGACGACGACGAGTCTGGGCTTAGGGTTCATAGGACATCGATTTGAGAAGAAGAAGAAGAGATGTTGTTCCGACAGAGGTTGAATCGAAGCATACGGTTCAGAGAGACGTTCAGAAGGAAGAAGGAAGGAGACGAAGGAGACGACGCAGGGGAAAGGAAAGAGAGACGTTCAAGAAGAAAGGGGGACGTCCAAAAACGACGTCGTTTTGCATACGTGGACATTTTTGCTTAAACCATTTTCCACGTAGGAGAGAGAAATGATTAATAAGCGCCACGTCAGCGCCACGTCAGCGCCACATTAGGACTCAAATGCACTTTTGTTACAAGTTTTAGGACTTGATTGAACTTTTTGCAAGTTTTAGGACTCAAACGCATTTTTGTGACAAGTTTTAGGACTTGTAGTGTACTTGTCCCTAAAAAAAAAGGAGCTTCAGACATTCACAAAAGGGGGGCTTCACAATTCACGGCCAAAAGAGAGTGTGAGAAAGAGAGAATCGGTACACAAAAAAGCGAACCCACGTTCTCCACTGTGAAAAAAAGACAAAAAGAAAAGTCAAGGTAGAAGGGAAGTGAGAAGAGAAGAGCATCCTCCTCCGTGGTTTTCAATTGACGGAGCCGCCCCAGCAAAAGCCATCTGCTGTTGTCTCAGCTTCACCGCGTGACGTCGTCCACAAGTTTCCACTTCTTGACGCGGCGTTCTTCATTGTCATCGTGACAAGCTAGTAACCACCGTGCGCTCTTACCGCGACGCCCTCCCCTCACCGAGCAGAGCACCTCCAGTCGTGCGACACGTTCCTGTGTGTTCTTTGTTTTGCAGGTCACTAACCAACGAGCCGCTGTTTCGTTGCCTGTCGAGCCATAACCACCGTGAACCAACACCGCGGCTAGCCGTGCCAGTCACCGTGAGCCACCACCGCGACCGTTGTTGAGCCAAGCATCCCCGCCATTGAGCACCACTGCCATCACCGTCAATCACCCGCCGTCGGCCGTCTCGCGATCCGCGATCTCGATAAACCGGCAATTCAAATTTGGAAATTATCCATAAATTAGGTAAAAATCTGCATCCGAATATGTTTCAGAATATTTAAATTTTTTATTCCTGGATAATTTGAATATCTTGTGTGATTTTGATGGATTGTTAGATGTCTTAGGGATAATGTGTGTGATATCCGCAATATTTAAAATACCCTAAATTAGGAGTTTTTCCTGATTTAGCAATGTACCTGGATGACTATCTGACCTTGACCCTAAAGTACGCTACGCGACGGTACGGAAAGCGTTATCTTATTCATAACCACTTGGATATGATAACTGATTTTATTCACTTTCCAAATTCAAACAATCAGCTTTCTATCAATATCCATGACCTTGTGGATATAATTGCTAGCCCGAGTCGTTTTTCTAATTTGAACATGATAAATGGATTTTGCGGATCGTATGGGTGGTTGGCGTGTGATTGCTATCTTTGTTTAATTTATTTCCCTTTTAAAAAGAAAGTCCAAAAATATTAGCTAGAATTTAAATTAGAAATTTTGCATGTTTAGAAAAACATGAATATATCTAGAAGATAGGATAATTGCTTCATTTAAATTGGGATGTAGGGTAGTTTATTTCCTAGTTTAAATTAGGGGTTATTCTAATCCTAATAGATTATTTAGGCTATTTTAGAATTTCGAATTTTCATAAAAAATATCCAAAAAGAAGTCAATTTAGGATAAGTTAGAGTGTCTTTCTAGAATAGATAGCATGTTATTTTAGGCAATTTTTACTACTCCGAATTTTAATGAAAAATACAAAAAAAAAATACATTGTTTGCCCATCATTAGAAGTAGGTCATTCCGTCGCATGACATAGTTCGCATGTTGGGTTTAATTAATCGCATGTCACATTTTGCACGTTATTGCATGTAGGTTAGTTTTCATTTAAATAAAGAGAAAACCCTAAAGAACAAATTGAATGAAGTGCTTGCTAATTAGAAATCGTAATAGGATTGTCTATGTGATTTTTTAGCTAATAATATAAATGCTTACGTTCCTAAAAGGTACGTTGTTCTCTTAAGCTAGTAATTTATTTACTGCTTTCTTTATTGGGTATTAAATTGGTGGATCGTGCACCGGCATAGTCACCCCACATGGTAGCAACTAGGAAATAAAATGGATCCAGACTGCCTGCTTAAACATTTTTTTAAAGGAAAAGGTATCGAAAGGGCGTTAGACTAGCTCTAGCATAACCGAGTCCCCGAACTTAAAATCGCTAGTTCGTAGAAATAAAACATATATTCCTATGTTTTATTTGGGTTTCTAATCAACCCGCCGCAAATAGATTAGTTGCGACTCCAGCATGAAAATATTTGCATGTTAAGAACTTAAATCCTAAGTCGCGAATTAGTAGGGCTTGGGAGGGCTCGAATTAGGTTTAGACTTAATAATTCATTAGCCAAACTCTAGGTGATCCACACCCCCGTGGGAGCTGAGGTCGCGACACACGACGCATGGCATGTCATGGTGACGTTGCATTCATTTGGACTCTCACAACTGGTAAATGGCATTTGGTAGATTTGCTTAAATATGAATAACGGAAAGGCCCG